TTTATTCTTTGATCGAACAATGCAATCGATTAAGAAATCGATCACACGTGATCAATCAAATAAATCGATTTTTAATCAATCAAGTAAGTAAAAGATCGACCAAATCATCGATTATGATTTTTTTTATCAATTAAATGCCCTAGTTAGAACTATCATTATATATTATGTATTCTAATTTCTTAAAATCTATCAGGATAGTTTACAATTTTCTTGATCTGGATAAACTAAATGATCAGGTAATGAGAATAATAATATAAATTTAAATGATATGTATAAATTATATAAGATACTAATTCCAATAATACAGCTTTTCTTGAAAAATAAAAGTATTGTGATATGATTTTTTTTACTAAAGAATTTTTGAAGAAAGTATTTTTTAATCTGAATATAAAATTCAAAACTTATTGAAAAGTTAAATATCTTAATTACTCATATATTTTTTCAATAATATATAATAATGTATATTACATGTTGTTATTATTTGTTTAATAAAATTTTATAGTATAAAGATTGAAGTTTTTTGTATATGATATGAAAAATAATATGACTCTACAAGATTAGTGATTCAAATACAACAAATCTTTGATATTATTTAAAATGTTTATCATTAAAATAAAAATGAAATATTTTAATAAAGTAACAAGTATTCCTGTGAATGAGTTTACTCATTTATTAGATATCTTCAATTTTATACTATTGAATTAATAAATCATTTTTAACATAAAAGAATTTCTTTAACATATGTAAATAAACTTTTTTTTTAATCATATACAGAATATATATTAATTTAATCTGTAAATTTTTTTTTCACTTCAAATACAATATTAGTTAACAGATTAAGAAGTTAATTATAAAAGGATTTTTTTTTGATAAATCATTATTTATAGCTTATTAAAATTATTTTGAATAAATAAGCTTTAAAAAAAAATATAATTTATATTATTTTTCTATTAAAAAGTTGATTCAAAAATATTAGATATAAATTTTTTAAGCCTATTAGGTATTATTTAATTAATAATTGCAGTGCATGTCTCCAATTTTGAGTAGCAAATGGAATTATATATAGCATTGATCATTTTGTCAAAGTGATTTTTATATGATATTTTACATCTTTTTTTACATCGTCAATAAGTGAATTGTGTAACTTTATTATATTTTTAGAAATTTTTTTAATACAAATGTTCATTTAATTTGTGACTATTAATTTATCAACTTTAAAACTCAAATCCTTCTGTTACCTTTAGTGTATCTTACTAGAAAAAAAGACAAATTTGCAAACTTTTTTATGAAAATTTTTTTTAGATTAAAATTTAATACAAAATGATTTTTATTTTTTAATAAAAAGTATTTTATTGAACAGACGATATCTTTGAATAAATTTCTTCTTTGTACTAACAAGTTAAAAGTTTATTACCTATTAAAAGAAATATGTGATAAAATTTACTATTTAATTAAAAGTTTGAAAGGTTTGAATAAAACTCTTAAAAGGTATATCTATTAAAATAAATTTTGCAGTAATATACTGTATATATTTTTTATTTGCTTTTATATTTTTATAAATATATTATAATACATTTTATTGATATTACAGATATAACTTATTTTTACTTATTTTACTTGGATTTTTGGAACTTCTAATTTATTTTTTTACTTGGATGTTATGGTAGAAAATATCTTAATTAGAATTTCTTTTTAAATTTTTTTAAATAATCAATATTAAAAAGATATTCCACTAATTATAAAAGTATACATATCATCAACAAAAAAAAGGTAAAAATCGCGCGTCATATAGCATCATAATATGAAAAAAAAATACTTCAAAGTTGAAAGAAACTAAATTCTTCTACTAATGAAAAAATGAATAAATATTATATTTTTAAAGTAACATTAGGATGGATGAAATAGAAAGAAATTTAAGACTAAAACCTTTTATTAAATAAAAATAAAAATCATATTTATTATAAAAAAATGATTTTTTAAATTTACATAAAAACTATCTTTTCTCTTGTAAATTTACATATATTTTTATGGTCAAAACTATGTATTTGTCCATACTTTTAAAAGCATCTTAAAAAATAAAAAAAAATAACTTAATTTCAAAACGAAACTCGTGTATATGTTGGGAAAAAAAAACGAAATATTGATTGAACCTGATAATGCATTTGATATTCTATCAAATTACTTAATTTAGTTTCTTTGTTGTATAAAAGAAACAAGTGAACAAACACAAAATGAAGTAGTGCGATATGATTACACGAATTTCAGTTTATTATGAAAATGATTTTCATCCATAATAAGGAATGAGTTATGGCGTATGGAATACTCGTGTCACGCGAAAAATATATAAATGTTTTTAATAAGCGATATTTTTATAGAAACAAACCATAAATGGGTTAAATACCAAAAAACAATTTTTTTTATTAGCTAAAAGTATTTAGCATATAAAAGCAAATTGATTTTTTTTGGAAAAGAAGAAACCATATACAACAATAAGATGCGTTTATGCCAATACTTCTAGTTTTGTCATTATTGATTGGCTTATATTGTAAACATTTACTTGTCTTGTTAAGAAATTTGTCTTACATTTGATTTTTTTTAATTTTTTTTATTTTATAATTATATATGTAAGGTTAGTTGTTAAGTAGGAAAGCTTGTTACTTTTCTCATATAAAAAAGATAAACCATCACTTATTACATAGAAAATTAAATATTAGAGCATTACATATTGAATTTGGTGTATTTATTTTTTTATTTTAAAGATACCACGATTATAATTCACTAAGTTCAAATATAATTAAATTAGACCTTTATAATAGAATTACTTCAAAACTACTTTCTTTATCCTTATCGTTGAATCACAAAAAAAAACATTTCTATAAGGTTTGACTGTGCCAAAAATCGATCGGCAGTTCGGGAGTTCGCATTTCTATTTACCTTTGTGCAACAATTTAAAACATTAGCCTTTGTTCTATTGCGACAAATTATTTAGAAAAACAATAAAATCATAACTATATAGTTTACTGATTAGGATATGATTTTTCTAAATTTGTATCAATTAAAAACTATTCAAAAATTAAAAAAGTTATTATTTTTTGTTAAAAGTAAACAAAGAATGTTATAAATTAGGATACAATTATTCTAACTTGCACCAATTAAATAATGACCAGATGTCTATTTAAAAAGGTTTTCACTTTTTTTGTTAAAGTTAACAAGAAATACCTATTTTTTTTTTTTTTATAAAGAGGCAGAATTCATCTAAAAAATACGGAAATCCTTTTCTTTGACTCATTTTATAATATCTTATTTCTGAACTTAACTCTAGACAAATCTAATATTATGAATTATTTACCTTTTGCAAAATGTTTTGATTGTGGAAGGGAAATAAAAATTGCAAAATGGTGTAAAGATTGCGAGTCCGAGGCCTTTAAAGAAAATTTTAAGAATTGGACTAGCGGAAATCCTAATCTTGATAATTTTATTAAAAATACCCAGTTAAATGCAACCGAAAGAGGGTCTTACTTAGAGTACATTGATTTTGATCAATTTGAATTTGTCAAATATATGAAGACAACTGATTCATTTAACACAATTTATTCAGCAATATGGATGGAAGGTCCACGAGAAATTTGGGATAAAGAGGCTGGACAGTGGACACGTAACGGACCAACACATGTTGCTCTTAAGAGACTTAATAATTCACAAAATATTAGTGAAGAATATTTAAATCAAGTAAGACCAAATTTATAAAGATCTTTATTTTTTATTGCTATTTATTAAATAATTTTTTTATACAATTTTAAATTAGGTATATAAATATCGAAATTGCTTTAGAAATGGAATTTTAGCAAACTGCTACGGTGTAACCAAAGATCCTACTTCAAATTATATGTTTGTTATGAAATATTATGATAATCATGACTTATATTCATATCTTATTAAAATAAATGAGTTTCTTAGTTTCAAAAATATTGTTGAAATGCTTTGGGATATAACAATAGGACTAGAATATATACACGATAATGGACTAATCCACGGAAATCTTTATTGTGGAAATATCTTAATTAATGAAATTGTTATAAATAATAATATAGAATTGGTTGAAGCACGTATTGCTTATGTAGGAATGCATGGCCCGGTTGACAAGAAGAATTCAAACGAAAATCTTAGATTGCTTCCTTATATAGCTCCTGAAATCTTGAAAGGTTTAACACCAACAATAGCTTCTGACATATATAGCTTGGGAATGATCATGTGGGTTCTATCCTTTGGTTTTCGCCCATGGGGCAATTGGATACATGAACATGATATAGCGACGAAAATTTGCTTAGGTCTTCATCCAGAAATTACTGAGGGAATTCCAAATATTTATATTACATTAATGAAACAATGCTTGGATCCTGATCCTTCTAAACGTCCAACTGTTTTGCAGTTAATAGATACGCTTGAAATTTGGAATCAAGTTATTTTCTGATTTACGTTAAATATTATAATGCATATCATCGGGAAAAATTTCAATTTTTAAAAAATTAGTATTCATAGTCAATACGATTTTCAAGAATTCTATACAAGTAGTTTTCCGTATTTCTTGAATTAATTAATTTATAAAATATAATTTTTTTTTATTTCTTACTGTTTATATATGGCTTTTATTCATAAATATTATTTATCATTGTAATAAAATATTTCATTAAATATATTAAAGTTTTATTTTAATTATCTAAAAACATTGGTCAAGGAATTAGGTAGTGTTACCTCCTATTTTCGTAAGAGGTAATTGAAGATTTTAATAAATGATATAAATGCGATTGCAATTTAACGAAAATTGTATGAATGTAATCTATTTGAAATAATAAAATTATAATTTTATAAAGGATGAAAAAGTTTATTAAATAAATGATAAGTAAATACAATAAAATCAACTATTAATGCCTCAGCTGCCGCTCTGTAATAGGCCTTTAAGAGAATAGAACTTCCTATCGAAAATACTAATTATTTTTCCTTCCTGGGGCTTTGTTACGGCATTCCTTAAAAATCTCAATGTAAATGCGGCTGAATGACGGATACACATTTTAATTGATCCTTGAAGTCAAATGAGGTCATTTTGACATATACTTACCATCAGTCCACTGAATTCGAATGGACAGGTTCGAAATGTTAATTCCCACAGATCCGCCAGAATTGACACATTGATTGTCTGTGCAACGAACGATCAATATTTGGCGCAGTCAAACCGCAGGATAATCTAGATGAATCTGGTACGAAATCCCGAAAGTCCCGAAACTATTCATATGTAGCCAAATTTGTCACATATTTTTCATTCACAGAGGTGACAATTAATGTTCGATATTTTGATTTTCGGGACTTAGTTAATTTCTTTTTCTAAAATAACAGTTTATTTAGCGGTTTGCTGTTTATTTACTTTATGACATCATTTTAGTTGTAATATTTGTCATTCGCCCCCATTTTGGAGGCTGTAATACTTGCACTTCGCCCCATTTATCATAAAAAATGGGGCTTAGCTTTTAAAAATGGGTTTATATATTTTTTTACGTAATATACAAATTTTCGAAGAAATTTCAAGCTCATTCATTATAAATAAAATGGTCAAATTCTTTTGTTTAAAAATGTGAAAAAATAATTTTAATGTTTAAAAATCTTATAATTAAAAATGGTCTTATATCTTATTCAAAATACTTCAAATTTTGCTCATTAAAGGATTAATTTTTTTTAAAAAAAAAATCTCTTTATGACAGAATCTCCTCTGCAAAATAATAATTCTTAACACCATAAAAAATATAAATAAGTTTTATTTTTAAATAAGGTCAAGAACAATATCAGATTTCTAAATAAAAAATTTGATAGAAAACTTCTATATAAAGGACTTCCAATGGTTTCCTAAAATAAAAGAATATTAATTGTACAAGAAATGTTTAAAATATTAATGAAGCATGCTTCATTAAAGGAAATGAATATTCAAATAACTTGTTCTTTCTTGGAACATAATGTATCATATATTACCTTTTTGAAACAATTTGTTTTCAGAATCTATACAAATTTGTTGGTGATTCATTTGATTCATTTATAATTCTAAATTTTATCAATATCTGCAATGATATAAAAATGTTCAAATTGAAAATTGATGAGGATATTAATGAAAAAATGGAAATGTATTCAACAAATCATAAAGGAATTTGAAATCATTTTTCATAATAATAAATATATGAAATGAATATATATTTTATCTGAATATGTTATTCATTAATAAATTTATCAATTTGCGAGAAATCTCCATAATACTCAATTATGATCATGAGAATTTAAACGTTATAATATGTGATATTTCTTCAATTAAAAATATTATCATTTAAAGAATTAAACTTTAGTATACTTTTTATTATATTATGTTTACGACACATTATATTTTATTTTTAGTTTCAAAAAAAAATAATATTAATATACTAGTTCAATTATTTATAATCTTATCTCTTAAATTGTAAAGTTTACAAGCAAATTTGCCTGCTTATTTGCTATAGATTCTCTTCTGATTTATTTTTATAAATAATTAATATTTTTTAAATTAATTTTATAAATATATAATAAATTATAGTAAATTTTATCTTTTAGTTATATATAAAAAATTTAAATTTACTTAGAAGCTAAATTTGTAACTTTTAAAAAAATTTTATTAAAAAATTTATGACTAATCTATAATAAACTTTTTAGAATTTACTTTTAACTATATTAATCATAATAGAATATAAAAAATTATTTATAAAATCTTTTATTATTATATTTTTTATAATTTATTAAGAAATTTTATTATTTTAATTAATAATAAAATGATTCAATTAGTATGCAAACATATAAATTTTTAAAAGAATTTGTAAAAAATTATTATAAGAAATTGTTTGAAATTTAATTTTAAAATTAGATTATTTTAAAAACTAACCTCTTAAAAAACTTAAAATATTTATTAATAAAGTTGATAAAATATATTAAACTATAACTATATTTTTTTATATAACAATAATCTTATTAAAATTAATATTAATATATATTTTATAAAGAAATTAATACTTTTTTTTAACTTCGTAGGCAAATTTGACTGCTTTATAGTTTAAGGAATATATTTTTGAATATAAAAAAAATGTATAACTCAAGTTTTAAATATTAATATTTTTTATCCTATTAAAGAATTAAAATCATCTTATATTCTCAAATTAAAAGAAAATCTTATTATATTTATTACAAATTCAAAGTTTATATAAATTTTAAAAAATGATGAAACTGATGTAAGAAATATATAAAATATATATGATTAAATTATTACGATTAATTTATTAATATGTCAATTTTGTTTATTTTAAATTATATAAATTTTTTTAGCTATTTAAAATTTTGCAACTATTTAAATATTTCTCCTAAATATTTATCTATTTATCAGATAAATGTAATAGGTATAATTTTTGAATCTACTATTATCAATAAAATTGATATTTAGTTTGAATACATTATAATAGACTATATAGAAAGTTTGCTAGAAAAGTAGAACTTAGAGAATTTTTTATTAAAATTTAATTTTTATTGCATTTTAATCTAATATTAAATTTTAATAAAAAATTCTTAGAATTCTATTTTTCTAGCAAACCTCCTATATGAAAAAGATAAACTAACTAAATATAATTTATATTATTTCATCCAAATGATTATTATTTTACAAATTAAACAATAATAGTAAAATATGATTCTTTAATAAATTTTTAGACTTTTTAACTAAATTTTATTTAGAATTATATAACTTTAATTTTTATATGAATCTTTTTCAAATATATGTCTTAATCAAATTCATCAAATTTTTCTCACTAATTTCAAATTTAACTATATTAATATTTCAAGCATTTTACAAAAATTTTATATAAACTGTAAAATTAATAATTCACAATTCAAGAATTTATTATATAAACCCATTAATGATGATATACACTTTAAAAATAATTAATAGGTTATTACTTGTACACAATTTAACAATTTATACTAAATATTAATAAATGCAAAGCTTATAAAACTTAAATAAAATGGGAGCTTTGCTATTAAAAATGGGTTCCGTAAACTTTTAATAAAAAATGAGATTTTTGATTCATATTATAGTATACTAAATGAACTTTATTTGGTTAAATTTTTAGAGTCTATTAGCT